GAGAGATAAAGGAACTTGCTCTAAGTCACAAAGTTAACAAGTGCTGGAGCCCGGACTGAAATCCAGATAAAACTTGCAATGGTCTACTAACCGGAATCACTGTCACTATTCTGTGCTGCCAGTTTCCTTCTTAAAATAGATCTGACCATATCACTCATTTGCTTAAAATCTGTGGCACACTCTCCCCACTCCCTCCATTGCCCAAGTTCGGTTTTCAACACATTCATCCACTTGTTGACATGCAATTCATCCATTATAAATTAACAAATTTGGCAAGTCCTAGCATTTGCTTCAAAACAATTTTTATATTTGATCTCTCAAAGACCCTGTGGCATAGGTGGGTGAGGCAACAGTTCTAAGAAATGGCTTGTCAAGAGACAAGACAGCAATGTTCATTGCTGGGACCCAATTCTAGGCCCTAACTGCCTTGTTGGACATGTGCCTTGAAGGTCAGACATATTTCTATCTTGCTGTTCAGTGTTCTGAGTTTTCTAATATATTTTAAGAGTGTCAAGTTTTTTCATTTCTCTCTGGTTTTGCAACTGCTGTTTCTTCTGCCATGTATGCCCTTTGCCCTGCCTGGTGAAGCCCTACAAATCCCTTGCGACTTAGCTTACACATCCCATCTCTTTTTGGTTTCCTGTAACAACCTGTTACTATCCCTCATTGCAGCCCTGGTCATGTAAGATTTGATGCGTTTGCTTGCCTGACTCTTTCCCAGCAGACTGTTATCCTCTCTAGAACAGAGATTATGAGGTATGGACACAACCTGAGTTAGGAAGCTGGATGGATTAGTGATGGAGCATAGAAAAGAACAAGAAGGAACGGAAGAAGAAAGACATGATTCATGCAAAAGGTGTGTTTCTAGCCCTTCTAAGATTCATGAAGCCAATATTTATCAAGAACTGAGCATAGGAGACCAATGGTAAACAGGACAACAATAGTTGTGTGTGTATGTTTGTGTGTGTGGAGAGACAAAGAGAGAAGGGGGTATATATATATACCCAAATATATATAGCCATTATATACCCATATATATAGCCATTATGTACATATATGGGTATATATAATGTATATAGACGGTATTATATATAATGTATATAGATAGCATTTTAGCACTGTATATGTAGAACATAGTGTGTTGTACAAATATAGTGTGCATATATATAGTATATAAATACATTCATGTGTGCATATAATAGTGTGTAGACATATATATAATTTGTATATAGTGTATGCATATGTGGTGTTTCTCTAGAGTGTATATTTGTATATCATGTACATATGCACATATGCATGGTATGTGTGCTAGGTGTGCTAGAATAAAATGTAACAGGAGATTTACAGAGTACATTAGGAAATGGTAGGCAGGACATTTGTTACACACAATATAGGGATTTTTTTAATAAAAGAGAAGCCCTTTAAGGCTTGCCTCCCTGTTGTGGTGAAACAAGAGTTGTTGAAGTGACAAGGAACAGCTGGAGAATTAGAAAAGAAAGGAGTTTAGAGAAACCTCACCAAAGCCAAGTGAGAACCACATTCTAAGATGAGTCTGGTTGGCAAAAACAAATACCTCCACAAAAAAAAATGCTAAGGAAATGGAAAACCAAGAGGAAAAGAATAACGGGATTTGATCATTAGGAAATTGGATAGTGGGGAACAAAAGTTTCAGGAAGAGGTGGGGGTGGAATGACTCAGAGGTACGGAAGTAGAATCAGACAAACATAGACTTCTGCCTCTCTTCAAAACTTTTGCCTTGAAAGGATGAGGGGAATAGCAGCTTATGATGAAAACAGGATTAAAGAACGCAGTTTTATTTGGTTCCTTGGAAGACAGGAGAGCTCAAGAATGCTTGTGGACAAAAAGTGACAGTCCTGAACTGCAGTCCTGGTGCTTGCATGGAGAAGCATCAGTCACAGCAAACATGATTATGGCCAGGAACTCTGACCTGCCTAGGATTTTGTATCTAGTAACTCAAAAATCCCTTACAACTCCATGAGGGAGGTTCAGTGATTATCCACATTTTATAGATGAGGAAGCCAAAGCATAGAGATGTTAAGTAACTTGTCCAAAATCACTCTGCTAGCAAGTCCCAGAACCCAAGTTCCCACCCAGGTCATCTGGCTGTAGCATCTGTGCTCTGAGCTCAGGTTCAATGAGGGATGCAGAAAGCACAGTCCTTGACCTGCCTCCTGCTTTCCCAGGTCCTGCTTAGACTGACCTTTGTCTACCTCTGCAGGTTTTCTCCCCTGCCCATGAGAGGTTTTGAATCCAGGGACATGCACGTTAAAGTAGTGGACCTGTTTTAGAGGCAGTCGCCAAGAAAGAACAACAGAGAGACCATCTGTTGGTGTTGCAGGCTCTGCATCTTTCCAGCAGTTATGAAGATTATCATGAGCATATCAGAAAAGAGGTGTCGTATACGTAGTGACACCTACGTTTGGGAGAACCAACTCCCCCTCCTACTATTGTACAACCTAGAAGAAGGCACTTAACCCGTGTGGGTACAAATCCTCCATCCACAACATGAGATGACATCGAAGATGATGATAACTACATCTCTAAGGCTATTGTTGTAAAGAGCAAGTGAAACAATGTACAAGTGCATGCAGATATTAACTACTTATAATTACTACGTTTTCAAACTATCTGAAGAATTGCTCATCCTCTCCACTCCCTCAGTTCCACCTCCCAAGGCATTAAAAACTGGTAAGACATCTGGTTTCAGAAAGCGTTTCTAAATCTATTTACTTTCCATGTACACAACTTGCCCCAGGTCTAAAATTCCCTTATATGGAGAGACAACATGACACATTCTTAACAATTCTGTGAGGGTGAGCTGTGATAAATTGTCACCATCCAATATTTACAAGGCAGCTTTTGAGTGCCCACAGCTACTAACAACTAATAGCCGTGGTTACCACACGGGCCATACCTGCCTGTGTGTCCTTCCCTTCTTTTTCCACAGGCCATGTACATGAGGATGATAATATGCTACCCTCAGGGCAACATTCTCCCCTCACATTTCACTTCCTCTGTTCAGGGATTTTACTTTTATAAATCAATATCAGCTTCTGGGGTGGGGGTTAAAAACGGGGTCTCACTCTGTCGCCCAGGCTGGTGTGCAGTGGCACAATCACAGCTCCCACCAGTCTCAACCTCCTAGCTCAGGAGATCCTTCCACCTCAGCCTTTGAGTAGCTGGGACTACAGGTGTCTGCCACCACATCTGGCTAATTTTTAAATTCTTTGTAGAGACAAGAGGTCTCGCTATATAGCCCAGGCTGGTCTCAAACTCCTGGACTCAAGCAAGCCTCCTGCCTCTGCCTCCCAAAGGGCTGAGATGATAGGCGTGAGCCACCACACCCAGCCTCAACATCATCCTTAAGTCCCAGCCTGCTCCTGCTGCAGATAAAGAGGTAACTTCAGTCCAGAAGCCAAAGAAACACGTGATTGAGGGAATGTAAAAGAAGTGGCTCAGCAGCCAGGCATTCTAGCTGCATTCTACCAGACATTTGGAGGGCCTAACCGTATTGCTCAGGATTCTCATTTTGCAGACTGTGAAAACCAGGTTTTTAGATGGATTTTTCACCTTTAAACAGGATGACTTGTTTCTTATATAATGAGCCAAGAATTTTATGTAGAGTTGCCATTCCTTATGACTTTCTTGTCTAATTGTCTTGGTTTTTAACTTTACATTGTATAAACTACATACCAAAAAATAAAATTGAAACAATTAGGCAGCAGTCAGATGGGGGCATGATGGGTGACAGGGGTGATGGGTGAGCGATCAGTAATAGGGACATCTACTGTCATAAGCAATCTGCAAGAACATCTAGAACACCACCTTCTTTTACACATGAGGGACCAGAGCCCCAGGGCCAGATTTCACCGTATGCTTCTTTGAGAAAGGACTGTACATTTTGTACGTATGCCTTAATTAAGAAAATTGAAGCTGCAAAAATTCCAGAGGCAATATTTTGATGGTCATTTGCACTAAAGACAGCTTCATGAAAAGGGGACTCCGAACCCCTCTCTGCATCTCTCAGCTGTTCTAGTGTGTGTAGCTGACTTACCAAAGCAAAGCACTCCTCTAAATCTGGACCTCTCTCATTCCCCATACCTCCACCCAAATAATGAAATGTTTACTCAGTGTCAATTTCACCATAAAACTTTACAGAGTAAGCCTATCGTTTGCCTATTGTGCAGAAATTAGCTGAAAACATTCAGAACAACAGCATTTTTCCTAGTGAAATCTCTAGACCCAAACAAGCAAACATATCCCTTCCCCTGCCTCCTTTTCTCCTACAACTCCCCACAAATCACCCACCCCGAGCTTCCTCTCTTTCCATGCTAGAAGGGCTGATGGGGGCTCAGAAGGACCCTTGCTATTCCAGCTCCCTCTTCCCTTTTTAGTTTTTATCAGTCAAAATGCCAGTGAAACCGGAGTCAGGACATATTTGGCTCACGTTCTTATTATTTTTCTTTTTTTAAAATACAAATAAGATTCTCTCAAAATAAATACACAATTTTATTTAAAAAATTTTAAAAGGTTATTATAATCTTGGTTACTGTCCAGCAGCAACATGTTTGATTGTTTTGAGAGTCAGAAAGCAGGATTCTCCACAAAAATATGTCCTTTTAGCCAGGTTCCAGGACCCCTTCAGACATAGGAAATCCCTTAATCCACAAACAAGTCCTTTTAGAGATGATTCCAATACACCGGCGATGAATGCCTCATTTACAACCAAGAATCAAGGCTGTCAAAGTGAACGAGAATTAGACACCAACAGTAGGATCGCATTGATATACAAACATTATATAAATTAACTCGGTCGGATTGCAAAAATACATCAGATGTTACCTGTGACAGTTTTCATCAGTTAATAAGTTATTTGCTTTAGAAGGAAAAGAAAAAATAAAGATCTCCTGATTCAAGTGCAAAAGGCGCAGCAGACCCGGGGCCCAGGGGTCCCCCCCGCCCCCCCCGACGCGGCCGCATCACCACGCGGGGCCGGGCGAGGACCGCAGAGTTCCCAGGATTTTGTCCCAGTGTGTGAAGTAGGGGGCGAAGTTGCAGTTAAAGTGCGAGTGGTGCAGGTCGTGGTGCGCCACGCCCCCGTACCACCCGAAAGGCACCAGCCTGTGGGTGGACCAGGGGAAGTCATAGCCCGAGTGGTCCTCCACCGACAGCCAGATGTTGACCACGTGGAAGGTGAGGACGGTGAGCGGGTGGCACCCGAGCAGCGTGACGTTCACCATGTCGAAGAAGCCCAAGGACAGCAGCTCCCAGACGCTCATGTACTGCGTGGCCAGCGCGAACGAGGACGCGTTCTGGTGATGCACCTTGTGGAAGGTGCGGTACAGCCAGGGCACCCGGTGGTGCAGCACGTGCCACGCGAAGAACTCGGCGTCGAAGAGCAGCAGGCAGGCCACGAGGTGGTGCACCAGCTGCGGCAGCTCGGGGGCCTCGCGGGGCAGCTGCGCCGGGCTGCAGGCCCAGTGCAGCAGCGTCACCGGCAGCACGAAGGCCACGTGCTGGTAGAGCGTCTGCCCCAGGCAGGGCAGCAGCTGCCGCGCCGACGGCGAGAAGTCGGGGTGGATCTTGTAGCGCCGCAGCGCGGGCGCCCGCGGGCCCAAGACGTCCAGCAGCACGAAGGGCAGGCAGAAGCCCACGTAGGTGGAGATGGAGAAGAGCACCGGGAAGAAGGGCGACAGGAGGAGGGCCTCCCGCGTCCGTAGGCTGTCCCAGAGGGGCTGCAGGAACAGCTGGCCCGAGCTGCAGAGGACCTGGGGCTCCCCCGAGCAGTTGCGGCAGCTCATGGCGAGGCTGTGCTCGGCGGCCGCTGGGGCTGCGCGCGTCCCGCCGGCTTTTCTTGGGTCCTGCCGCCCCGCCCCGAGGGAGGGCGGCCGCTTCCCACTCGGGTTCCCGGCAGGGCGGAGCTTGGCTGCATGAAGAAGCCCGCGGAGTCGCTGGGAACAAACTCATCCGCTGATGCCTCCGACCGGCTCTTCTGCTTGCGTGTATACAGTGGCCCCTAGCTGCTTTTCACACGCGCCATCACATTCCGGTGTTTCAGTTGATGTGCCACCGACGCACGATACAGTGGGTAGATCCACCCTGTGCGGTGTCTACGTATCTGGACAACTCGATTCACCTGTGTCGTCGGTGGCCGCTCCCAAACTAGAGATGGTCTCCAGCGCCACCCGAAAGTGCTTCCTTGCAACCCGTGCAGAACTATTTGTATTTTTAAAGGCACGGGAATAACTGCGTTCCGTGCGTTTCCACACAGGCGCGAGCATGACTGCCTGTTTGGACACTTGGTGAAGCCACGCGCCGCCTGTGGCTCGGGTCTTTTCCGTCTGCGCACCCCGCGGCGGTCTAACCTGCCGCGAGTGCCAAGAGATTCCCTCGGCGGAGGGAGCCGCGGGTCCCCGGCCGCCCGCCCGGGGTGGCGGTCCGCGCAGGAAACCAGACTGGACGGGCGGTCGGGTGGGAACCTCCGCTGCCTCCAGCGTTTACCCGGAGGCGCTTTCCTGCCCGGCTCGCCGCACAGACCGGCCTGGGGCAGCCGCAGCCTGCCCCGCGCCTCGGGGGGAGGGCGGGGAAGAGCCAGGCGAGGGGAAGAGGGGGATAGCCGGGCGGGAACTGGAGGGAGCAGGGGGTTGAGGGTGGAGGAGGAGGGTGGGCGACCCTCCGCGGCCTTCTCGGCGTGTCCCGGCGCGAAGACTAGCGACCCAACCCGGAGGCAAAGCAGCCAGCGAGGAGGAAGCTCGGCGACCTCTAGGTTTCGCTGTGGGAGAATAGCGTTGGATTCAACACCCAGACCCTGCGCCAATCTGGCTGAACATCCGCGGCATCTCTGGGGTGGAAGCAACTGAATCAGGACAGCATCCATTTGTTCAAGAGAATGGCGTGCGCGTTCGCCTGACCCTCCCAGGAGGATGTTGAACAGGCGGGTGATGCCGCCCTGCCTGATCCTTCCCTTGCTGGCTTCGCTGAGCCATCTGCCCCGGGCCCTCGTTCCCCCCAAACCACTCCTGGCCCAGAGAGCCCGACTACCAGCCGGTCTCTGTCCCCGGCGTTGCTCGACCACCGAGCAGGTGTTTCGAGCCACGGACCCAGGATAAGGAGGTCGGTCCTAGGAGAGCTCCAGGGAGACCCTGGGACCAGCATTTAAAAAAACTCACATTTGACCTGGTGGCCGATGCAGGATACCATACAAAGGTTCCCTGGGGGATAGAAGTTTTGGACACAAACCTTTGAAGCCAGAGGCCTCTCCCATTCTAGCTTTAATATCTAACGTCTTTGTGGTTAGGCCAGTCCTTCACAGCTTGAAACTTACATTTTTGGGGTTTTTTTTGTTGTTGTTGTTGTTTTTGAGTTGGAGTCTCACTCTGCCGCCCAGACTGGAGTGCAGTGGCCGCTCCCGGCCACCGCAGCCTCGACCTGCTGGGCTCCGGCGATCTTTCCGCCTCAGCCCTCCGAGTAGCCGGAATTACAGGCATGCGCTACCACGCCCGGCTGATTTTTTGAGTTATTGTAGAGATGAGGTATCACCTGCCAAGGCGGGTCTCGAACCCGCGGGCTCAGGCAATCCACTCACCTCAGCCTCTCAAAAGTGCGGGATTACAGGCTGAGCCACCGAGCCCGGCTGAAACTTACATTTTTTAATCTCCCCACCCCACAAAGGGAAATAATAATAGTCGTCATTTTATAATCCTTTAATGTTGACAGCATTGAAAGGAAAAATAAGTCTAACCGTGTCGCATCTACCTACTAGATGTCAAGCATTAGCTAAATATTTTACTTGAGATAATTTCATTCAGTCCTCAAACGAGCTGGCTCCCTCACCCTGCCAAAGTAGGCATTATTATTGTTGGGGGTTTACAGCAGTAAAATAATAGTGTCTAGTACATTGTAAACACACAAAATAAGAAACCTATTACTTAAAATTTGTACTCCAGGCGTGACCTAAAGAATACTTGGATTTAGAGTTGATCATACTCAGTGATCTATCACAGAAACAAAGAACAGAGTACCGTATGTTCTCACTCATAAGCGGAACTTGAACAATCATAATACTATAAGAAAGGGATTGGCAGTAGTGGGAAACTGCCGGGGGACGGGGAGGCAGTGGGATTGGCAGTTGAGGGAAATTGCTAGGGGAGGGAGGGGCACACCTCATCAACAAGGGTACCTGCATAATCAGCGTTTGTAAACCTAACCCTGAATTGTACCCCACATCTTTAAAATAAAAAAAAGAATACTTGGGAAACTTGAAATTAAAATCAAATAAGATTATGTAAAGATAAATAAAATATACAAAACCATATATTATGAGAAAAAAATAAGTACTACAAAAATATAAACTCATATGTGGTTTATAGGATACGTCTAGACATATGGTTATATAATAGATCAACTTATGATATAGACTATATAGGCTGTAGATGCACATAATAGACCAATTCATAATTTCGCATCTCCCAACTGGTGTGTGTCCTCGAATGCCACTGATGGAATACTGACATTCCTTAGATGTCCAGTCCCTCTATCCCTACAGCACCTTTTTTTCTTTTTAACCCTGATATGTCATTAAAATATTATTATATTCTGCTTGCATATTTGCTGTTGCTGAGATAAAGGTCCAGAAGTGACTGTGAGCTTCTTGACAGCCAAAGCAAAAGGGAAACGGTGTATTTTCTAACACTGCTCTGGTGTCTAGATGGTAGCAGAAAACAGGCACAACGCAGGCCCCTGGCCTCCTTATGGTGAGTTTCTTCCAATGAGACAAACTGCCCTCTCTAAGATCCTCCCAAATCTTACCCTTCCCCACTGCTGTTTCCACTTGACTTTTAGGGCAACCCAGGAACTTTCTTTTCTCTGATTTCTGACAGACATGATCCTAGCCTAGATGCAGCATCTCAGAGGGAAGAGGAAGGGTTTTTTGTTTGTTTCCTGCACTCTTGGGCCCCTCAGTGCTCCATAGGGACTACTAGAGTTCACTTTCTCAGTATTACACAAATTAATTCTGCTCATAAGCAAAATATCACTCAAAATTATCCTCAATAAAAGTTAAGTCAACCCTCAAATGCCTTACACATTGTTCTTCTGGTCTCAGCTTTCATGGTTGGGTGCTTTGAATGCTCTTGCAGATTTTTTGTTTTTGCTTTAAGTGACAGGCATTGGCAGGTTTGTTTAATTTGGATTTAGCTATCAGAAACATCTTCTTTGAGCCCCTAAACCCAACCAATCCAGTTTTTTCTGCTTCCATTCTCTATCACTGTTAACAGAATCGCCAAACACTAATTACATAAAGCCATGTACAGCAAAACCTAAAAGCCAAGGCTTCAGCCTGCTTTGTCCAGGCTCTCCCCTGTCACCTTGTGGCACTTTGAAAAATAGCAACTAGTTTCTTTGCTGTTCCTGCACATGGAGCAGACCAAGACAGAAATTTGTGTCAATATTTGTTGGGGCGGGCCCTTTAAAGTACAGGTTTTCCCCACTAGGTAAGTGTTCTAGGAAGCCATCGACATCATTGTGCCAGCTAGCCTTGTTTGTGAGAAGCTGCCTTCGGCTTCAGTGAATTTTTTTTTTTTTTTTTTTTAGATTCTTTCAATGAGTTTGCCCATTCCATGATGGGTGATTTACATGAACAATCTGCCCACGCCATGCTGAGTGTTCAGCAGTTTTTGACCAAAACCAGCATGACCCCAGTACCCCAACCTCCCTATTCACCTGATCTTGCCCAAGGTAGTTTTTTTGTTTGTTTGTTTTCCCCAATTAAAAAGTCCTCAAAGGGAAACATTTTGCTGATGTGGAAAAGATGAAACAAAAAACAGTAGAGCCACACTGAGATACCACCTAACTTTAGTCAGGATGCCATCATCAATAACTCAAAAAACAAGAAGATGCTGGAGAGGATGGGGGTATAGGAAACACATCTACACTGTTGGTGGGAGTGTAAACTGGTACAGCCTCTGTGGAAAACAGTGTAGCAATTTCTAAAAGATCCAAAAGTCAGCCGGGCTCGGTGGCTCAGCCTGTAATCCCGCCCCTTTGGGAGACTGAGGTGAGTGGATTGCCTGAGCCCGTGGGTTCGAGACCCGCCGGGCAACTTGGCGAGACTTCATCTCTACAATAAATTTAAAAAAAAAAAAAAATTAGCCTGGCGTGGTAGCGCATGCCTGTAATTCCGGCTACTAGGAAGGCTGAGGCGGAAGGATCGCCGGAGCCCAGCGGGTCGAGGCTGCGGTGGCCAGGAGCGGCCACTGCACTCCAGTCTGGGCGACAGAGTGAGACTCCAACTCAAAAAAAAAAAAGAAAAAAGATCCCAAAGTCGACCTCCCATACCACCCCACAATCCCCCTACTGGGAACATATCCAGAGGAACTCAAATCACTCTATGAAAAAGTTACCTGCACATGCATGTTTATTGCAGCTTTATTCACAATAGCAAAAACATGGAACCAACTGTACAGCCCATCGAAAGAGGACTGGATAAAAAAAAAATGTGGTACATATACACGATGGGATATTATACAGCCATAAAGGACAAAATTGTGAACTTCACATCAACTTGAATGGACTTAGAATCTATAATACTGAGTGATCTATCACAGAAACAAAGAACTGAGTGTCACATGTTCTCACTCATAAGCGGACTTTGAATCATAATACTGTAAGAAAGGGATTGGCAGTAGTGGGAAACTGCCGGGGATGGGGGTCCCACACCTCATCAACAAGGGCACCTGCATAATGAACATTTGTATACCTAACCCAGAATTGTACCCCACATCTTTAAAATTAAAAATTAAAAAGCAAACAGCAGAAG